TGTGGCCTTTTGATTGTTAGTTCTCAGTTAGTTTTGAAAATATTAATTGTAGTATCCTCCAGGAGTGACTCTAAGTGAGAATTTGTAGCACTGTAATAAAGGGATTACAGTCTTTTCTGACAGGCAGCTTTCAAAATAGCAGCAGAACACTGCTGCTGAGCTTATGGCATTTAAGCTGCAGAGTACTGAGGGATCTGTCTGGTGGGAAAGTCAAAAGATTTAGGCCACAACACCATCAATATTCTGATGACTGACTTTACATTCCCTCTGAATCAGATAAGACAGAGCAGGGATCCAGAAAGCATGTTGAGGTACTAATGATGAAACGTTCCCAGGCTCACAGGTAAGAACATATCCTGCTATAGATGATCTGTAGTGTCCCAGAAAGAGCAAGAAATAATTTATTGCCATCCAGCAGCCTGGTTTAAGGTGACCTAGACCCTGTTGGGTAGGGAGGGCGTTTCAGGATATCTGTGGACTGCTCTGAGGATTATTTAGGCTATCTAGCAAATAAAATGAAATTCACTCCAACTGGATACTAACTGGGCTGGACAGGCTGAGGTGCATGTGTTTCAATCTGGGAGTATGGTCTGGGATGAGTTTAAGCTGCTGACTACTGAGGAAGTGATAGGATTCTCTGTGCTGTTAGCTTGGTCACCTGTTTACTAAATCCAGATCTCTCTGGGTCATAAAGATGGCCAGGCAAATGGCCTGCAATTCAGTCCATTCGGTGGTATTGCCCTCTTTGTTGGAGGGAGTGGTACCTCATGCCTTGAAAGCAATCTATTGATCACAGTTTCCTTTTGAACAAGTTCTGTGTGTTTCTCTTCCTTTCTCTGGAGCCAGCTCCAGTTGGTGTTGGTTTGAGGGATGAGATCACTTCCTAAGCCCCTTGTGGGTAGGATGCGACAGGGTTTTACTCTCTGTCTCTCCTCCTTTTACATGAACCATTGAGTGAGCTCATCTGTTGCTTTGGAATCTTTCAACCATGGGTTGGCCAAATGAGGCTGTTACAGTTCTGTTCCAGTGCCTGGAGGCTGTGAGTTTTGGATGAGGAGGTACTTCTCCAACTGAATCCTACCAAGACCAAGTGGCTGTAGGTGTTTGGACCACCTAGAACTGGGTTTATTCCATTTGCACAATAGGTTGCACTTTCCCATTTAAGAACAATGCAAAATCTAGGGGTTGGTCTGGACTCATGTCTTCTGCACAATGAGCAGGTGGCTAGGAAGGCCTTTATACAACTTAATCTGATGTATCAGTTGTACCATTTCCTAGATTGGGGACTTCTCAGACAGTCACTCTTGCTCTGGTCACCTCATGGCTTGATTACTGCAATGCATTCTGCATAAGGCTGCTCTCGAAAAACACTCAAGAGGCTCCAACTGGTCCAGATCACAGCAGCATATTGATATGCCTTTATAACATCCCTGTTTTGTGACACATATTGGTTGTCAATTTGTTTCCGAGTGTGATTCAAGATATTAGTCATAATTTTTAAAGTCCTACATTGCACAGGACCTGGTTATTTGAGGGACCACCGTCTTCCATCATACTGCTGGCCAGTTCAGTTGTGTAGGATTGGCATGCTTCAATTTCCATTGATTAAGCAGTGTCATCTATAAGGACTTATTCTTTGTAGCAATGCCTACCCTGTGAAATGAGGCTACCCTGAGATCCACATAGCCCCCACTCTTCTGGTGTTTAGAAGGATTGTGAAGATCCTTTTTTTTTTACCCAGGGCTTTGGCAAGGGAGAGTGAGACCCTTTGCTTTGTTTCTGTTCAATCTGTTGTTCTTGCTTTCCTTTATCCTTCCCTCCTCTTCTTTTTAATTGGTTTTATTGTAATTTTCTTGTTTCAGTTATTGTGAGCTTCCCAGAGTCATTGGCAGTCAGGCAGCATACAAATTTGATAAATACATACATATTCAGTCCAGCTTTGTTATGGGACACCCTAGGGGATTTAGATGATGTGCTAGTTGCAGCATTTCCTAGCAATCCATGTCTTAGAACAGTAGTGGCGAACCTATGGCACGGGTGCCAGAGGTGGCACTCAGAGACCTCTCTGTGGGCACGGACACTGTCGCCCCAGTCCTAGGCCTTCAGCTGGCCACACCCACCCAATTGGCCACACCCACCCGGCACCCGAACATGCATAAGTGGGTTTTGGGTTGCAGTTTGGGCACTCGGTCTCTAAAAGGTTCGCCATCACTGTCTTAGAAGTTTATTCTGATACTATATATATATAATATATGTTATTATAACACATTCTGGAATGGTTAGAGGCTTCAGCTAGTGCACAATGCCTGGTTATGGTTTGGTACTGCATGGTCAAAATCACATTCTCAGTGATCTGCCTCTGATGTCTGTTTTGGAACCGACCTCAAAATACTGATGCTAATATGTAATACCTTTAAGCATCATCTAGGTTGGAATTTTTTTTCTGATATATTCTGGAATAAAGGTCATGGTATTGAGAAGTGTGGAGGGGACAAAAGTCCTGGTGCTGTGTTTAGCTGATGCCAGGAGGCTGATGCCACCATTGCTGCTGAACTTCTCTGCTGAACTCCTCCTGCTTGGACCCTCAAGCATGATTTGTAGTTCATTTCAAAGCCTGCACCTCAGTTATCCAGATTATTGTATTTCTGGCCTCTGATGCTTTTGCTCCTATTTTGCATTGTGCTTTGATTGTGACAAGCTGTTCCAAATGTTTAGGCGATAGTCATCTAAATACAAATCATAATCATTGGTCATGTCTACTCTTCCACAAGGCTGGAATTCTCTCCCTGGACAGAATGAATCATCTTGGGGTGTGAAGCTTCTGAGCCAGGGAGGAGGTGGCGTCTTGTCTAGTGGTTCATTTTTTTTTTTGTATGAAGCTTGTTGGTGTGTGTGTGTGGGGGGGAGTAACAAATCTTGCGGGATGCGGCTGCATCTCTGCTTTTGTCAAACGAAAACGTTTCTGTCTACGGAAACGAGTTGCCAGTTGCCAGACTCTCGGATTCTTCTTCGCTGTTGCTGGCAGGTTTGAAGAAGAGAGCTGGAAGTGGGCGTCCGTAGAGAAAGCCCAGCGGAGCCCAGCGCGGCTGCTGCGAGTCCAGCAGCCTTTCTCGATCACGGTTGCCGTCGTCGCCGCGGCGGCTTCAGGAAGCTCCTGAGGACATAAGGAGGGAAGGAGCAGGGCGGGCCGCGGCGCAGCGCAGGGTTGTGGCAGGCCGCTTGTGTGCGTGTGCGTGTGCGCTTCCCCCCCCCCCAGCACATAAATGTAAACAGTGCCCTCGCGCTGTGGGCGGAGGTGGACCGCCTCTAACGAGGCGGGGCTTAGCCTCGCTGCCTTACTTTTTATTGGCGGCGGGGAGGACTCTCGCCTCTTCGCCCGGAGAGGCAGTCAGAGTGCGGGGCTCTTGCCGTCGCCCGGTTGGCTGCTGTTTTGTCCGTGCGACCAGACGCCAGCAATCTCCGAAAAGGTGCTCGAGCGCGTCGCTCCCAGCCGTCCTCGGTGCCCGGGAAGGCTCCGGCTTGCCTCTGGGATGATTCAGGAACCCTAACGCGGTAAGTACGGCCGGCTTGGGGTGGGGGTGGGGGGTGGGGGAGGGCGGGGGGCGGGATTGGGGGCCGGGGTATCTTGGTGTGCGCCCGTGTCTCCACCCCTCTCTTCTGGTTATCCCCTCCCCCTTTGCGTGTCTCTTTCTGGCTCTGTTATTCTCCTGCCTTGCACTCGCGTTCCCTTTGTTGGGTTTTCGGTGGGAAGCGACCCGTCTTCTCGCGGCCCCGACCGCAGCTCTCCGCCGGTGTCGTTCAGCAGCGAGGGAGAGGCCTTCCCGAGGCGAAAGGGGTGACTTGGCCTTGTGATTGGATTTCTTTTCAACTCTCGGCGCGGGGCTGTTTCGCCCCAACCCCCTTCCGCCACTTCTCACACCGTCACCTTTTCTCGTTCCCTGCTTGTGATGGTTCCCCAACTTGGTGGTGGATGCTTGGCTTGCGCTGGCCTTTTCTACAACCTGTTGTTGCTTGCGTGAGCGCCTAAGTCCGGTCGCGGGACGCGGGCGTTTGAGCAAAATAAAGAAAGGTGAGTTAGAGCGCGGTGGGCGGGTGGGAGGCAGTCGACGACCCCTTGCCTTGCGGCTGGGGTGACCTGTCGGCGCTTCGTTTCTCACTCGTGCTTTTTTTCCCCTCTTGATTTCGCCGCCCGCTAAACAACTCATTAAAGAGTGTGGTTTTTTCTAAAGGTGCGAAGCGAGACGTTTTTCCCTGCGTGTAGTATAGAGAAGGATTTGATCCGTAGCCGTAAAAGGATGAGGGGAGGTGGAGTGAACAGAGGAGCACTTTGCAGTGTACAAACTATTGTGACGCACTTTTACAACTGATTGCTCTTGCCAAACCTTCCAGACTTGCTGTGATCAGCATATTCGATAGAACAATGGAGCGAGAGCCTGGCCGACTTCCCCGTCCTGCACAATCACCGCATCTACTTCTAACATTTCAACACTGTATCTGATTCTCCCGTATAGAGAACTTGGAGGGCTGGAGGGTGCGGATCCTGAGCTTAAAATATTTCACTCCCCCTTCTTTTGAAAAGAAAGCCAGTCGGCTCCTTTGCCCTCCCCCCTCAAAAGATCCGACCTAGAATATTGCTTAGTTGGCCCCCAGGTTTTTTTTCTTACAAACTTCTGTTACTGTTTTCTTTTCAACAAGCCTTTTTTTTACCCCCTGAGATAGGTTGGACTGAATATGGCAAAACACCTTTATCAATTACTGTATTTGATTTTTAAAGTTTGACACTTGCAGGGAATGAAGATTAATTAATAGATTTGAAATCCTGTGGGGAATGTAAAATGTCATGGAATTTGCAATGCTAATATGTTGATAGTGATTTCTATCTACTGCAAGTCATCACTGTTATCAAGTTTGAATGAACTTTATGTGTAATTTGAGATGTTTTTTTCTTCTCCCCCCCCCCCCCTTATTTCTTCCAGGTCTTAGTGAAAAAGAAAGACCAAATGGCAAAACAATCTTCTGATTTAAATTCTGAGTGTGAGAGTGAAGGTGGACAATTGCAGCCTGCTGAAAGGCCAGCTCAGCCTCCTCACCTTCGACCTGGGGCCCCTACCTCCTTACAAACTGAATATCAAGGTAATCATTTGGGTGAACTGGACAGTTCATCACCCGGTAGCCCTCAGGGACCACTGGTACCACCCTCCAGTCCCAGTCCATTTGCTACCAGATCCCCGTTGTTCATGTTTGTAAGAAGATCCCCACTGCTGTCCAGATCCTCCAGTGGGTATTTCTCTTTTGACATCGACAGGAGTTCTGCACCTATGAATTGTGACAAAGCTACACAGACTCCAAGTCCCCCGTGTCAAGCTATCAATCATTATCTAAGTGCAATGGGTAAGCAAGAGCATGGTAAGAAACTTTTAGCTCATTTTTGAAATACAATCAACACTTCCTACTCCCTTTTGAAGCCTGTGTGTGTGTGTGATTTGGAGCTTTGGTCTAAGAAATAATTTGTCTTGTGTAGTAACAGAACTCCAGTTCAAGGCAAGCTATACTGATTAAAATGTTGGATAGAGGAGATACAGGTTCAAATCCCTACCCAGTCTTCAAGCTTACTGGGATCCTGATTTCATCATTTTCTTTCAGCTTAAGCTTACTTTATAAGCATATACATAGGGGAAATAAAGAGAACATGAAGCTTTTTGAAGGAAAGATAGGGTACCGATATAATACATAAATCCTAGCATTTGAAAATTTTGCAGCTAACCCTCTCATAATGATGAATAGGATAAGAGTACTGACCAATTTATGGAGTCCTTTGTAAAGGTCACCAGGTAATAGGAAATGTTTTGACTCTTGCGTAAATAAAATGAAAGTAATTAGAATGAAAATAAAAAGATAAGTTTTCATAAGGATAACTTTTTGTAATATAGAAAAACATGGGGAGAAAATCAAAATGAACCTGAAATTGGCTTATAGCTTGTTGAAAATATAATTGTGCCCTTTTGTTTGGAGAGTATTTTCATGTTTGTGGCTTTGGAAGAAGTAAAACCTAAATTCTATTACTGCATATAAATGTCATTTGTAGTGTGAATGTTTGAAAATGATGTAGTAGAATGGAGGTGATTGTCAAGGATTAGGATTATAGTGAACCCAGGAATTGATTTTAAATCTTTATTCCTTTATTATGGTACAAGTGAAGATCACAGTCTCACATTTATTATCTCCAGGATGGGAGTTTCCATTGATGCCAAAAAGCACTTCCATCTTGGGGCATATAGTGTTGAGTGTCAATGCTATTATCCAGAGTGGGCCTCCTGTGCCTATTCATTCCCTTAGTGAAAACTAGAAGAAATGGGAAGCGATGTGTTTATGATCCCTATAGTTTGGCCCTAGATGAGGATTATAACCAATGGATTTGTACTAGTTAAAATAGGATTTATTTGGCTTCTGAATGAATAATTGGTTTTCAGAACATTTGTTTGTATAATTTGAGCAGAGATGTGTGGGGTAACCGAGTTCTAAATTTTCTTTTACTATAATGGAGGGTTTTTTAAAGTATTTTTCTTTTTCCTGAAAAAAATGGTGGGTGCTTTCAGATAACTACAATATACAGTTTCTGTACAGGATGCTGAACCATTGCTGCTTCCTCTCTTTTTGAAATAAATAAATTGGTTACATTTTTTTGAAAATGAAAATGTTTAATTTTGTTTGCTAAGTATCTTTATGTCATGTAATAACAGCCTCCCATTAGGCACACAAACTCTTCTTGGAAAAAGAACATGTTTGTTATAATGGTCCAGTCCAATATTCTTTTAAAAAGAAGCTTGTCTAATGAACAAAGGTTAACACCAATTAAGTGTTTTGCAAATTGATTCAAGTATGTTCCTACTTGATTCCCATTTGGGATATATATGCATGAGGTGTTATAGTGCATCCTGTTCCCTGTACTTCAGCATAGCTGATTTCCTGCTTTGAGTGCAGTGTTTATATAGCACTAACCTAGGAGTAAGAGAAGCTACTTTGCACAGATATGCACTTAAGCCAGTATACTCCCAAGAGCATATACCCTTTTTAAAGTGGCTTAGGCATCTTAACCTTATATTGCAGGCATGTTTACCTTCCACTCTTTACCATGGAAACTGAAAGTACTTCCTGAAAATTCCACCAATCAGAATCTGGAGAGGGAAAAAAAATCCCTTGGTTTTTAAAATAGATTCTGTTGGGGCTTAATTTGCCTAGCATAGCTGAAAGATTAGAATATTGGATACATCTCAGGAAATTGTACAGCCTATTGATTAGGTGGTAGACGGTGACAATATGTAAAGCATAAAATGAGTGATTTTTTTTGTGTATTGCAAATAACATGTAATGCAAGCAACTGTTACCTTTAATCATAAAGGTTTTGTAGCATTTTTAAAATACTGCTTTTTCTGGTGAGGAAGTGCAGTAATGGGAAAATTACACTTACTGAATCTCTGCCTACAGCTGTTAAAACAGAGGAGCTTTGTTTGGGGAAAGATGGCAACAGTAGTAAAGAATGAAGTTAACAAGTAGAAAAGGGGCATTGCATGTTATTGGATGTCAAATATGTACATTGCTGAGTATTTTCAGCAGCCTGCTTGTGTTCAATTGGTTAAGCCAGTGGTTCTACTAGAAATGATTCAGCTCCTGTATTTGTTGCCTTTATATATATAATATATGAAAGTAACAAGAAAATTGAATGTATCATCTTAAATTATTTTATTAAATGAAATTATATGAAGAAGTATTCATGTAGAAGATAGATTTATCCGAACTCTTAAGGAGAAAATCCAATTTTAAAGCAGCTATCAAAGATGATGTGTTATCTTCTTTGTTGCTTAAATGATATAGCTATTCTTCAGTTTTGTTCAGGTACATAGAAAGGTACCATATAGAAGCTGGTCAGGAATTAATTTTCATTATCAAAGAAACTGGATCCAGAAATAATGGGCATAAATTGTAGATACCCAGCTTTATTTTAATATAAGGAAAAGCTTTCTGTTGGTGAAATCAGTATAGATGTGGAATAATTACTTTGGAGAGCCAGTTTTGTCTGATGGTTAAGGAACCAGGCTAGAAATTAGGAAGCTGTGAGTTCTAGTTCCATTGTAGGTATGAAAGCTATCTGGGTGACTTTGGGTCAATCCCTCAAGTGCACTATATCTGCCTCTGGTGACAAGCAGGTCTTGTCAATTTCTTTCTCAGTTGATCAATCAGCACTCTGTTGATGTGAAAAAATGGACCCTGCCAGGAAGAAAGAAGAAGTTTACTTAGGGCGTTGTGGGTTCTTCATCCCTGGATGAACCACCTCTCATGGATGGTTTAATTGTTTTTCCACCACATTAGGGAGGGTTGAACTACATGATCTTTTTGAACTCTACAGTTCTATGATTGTACAGATGGGCTCAGATTTTGTTTAATGGTGATAATGAAAAATGATCTTACACATTTTGCAGATGCTAGGATTGTTGAATAGAATGTATGCCGTGAACAATACACATAGGATTTTTAAGGATGTAAGAGTTTATTTTCTAAGTTGAAGAGTTTGGTATTCTTGATAAATCAAGTTACTCCTCTAGAACAGAACATAAACATAGTTTCAGAGAACTATTTGGGAGCTATAAGGACTTCTGTGATATCAAGCCCACCTTCTGCAGACATTCTAGAAATAGTGTAGGAGAACAAAATTAGTGTTTGTTAAAGTTCAGCAGACCAGTAAAATGACTTCTATCTATACAATTTATAAGTACGTAAGGCCTATGTAGTACGTAGTCTGGATGGAACCTGGCAGTCAACAATTATTCTTCGAATGGATGTTTTAGTTTACAAATTTCTTTAAAAATGAATATGGGCAAATGAGTTTTGAAAATATTAACCGAAAAATAATTGCATCTTTATGAAATTCAAAAACTAACTAAATAATTTCAAACCAATGATTACTATAAGCCGTGCAAACTCACCATAGTCAAATGATTTGTGAAGATTGTCAAGTCTTGCAGTGTGGTTTTTAAAAACCTCAAAGGAGATAGCTTGGAACTACAAAATGACAGATTTTTGTTTTTGTTCTTGTTCTAGTTTTTATATGTAGTTTTATTATTCTGAGCCAGTTCTTAGGATTTCTTTTCTGCTTTTAAGTCTACAACTTGATTTTTTGTTGCTTTAATGTAAAGCTTTTTAAAAGTTATATGTGCTAATTTTTTTGAAGAAAACCCCCAACAAATGACTTGTGATACCTTAAATACCTATGTATGAGAAATTATGCAGAACGAACCATTTAGAGTTAACTAGCCAAGTTAAGTGCACATCTTTCACTTAAGTAACTGGGATTATGAATTTTAATCATGTTCATTTATGATGAGTTTAAATCAAGATTTTATTCTTGTGTTTTTTTCTTTTTAAAGTTCTGAATATCTTTTTCTTGCAGCTTCAGGCAAAGTTTACATCTGAGTTTAAAATGATAAGGGGGAGTTTTTCTGCATTGTGCTTTTATATAATCCTTTCTTTATATTTCAGATAAAACTGATCTTATGTTTGAATTGTTTTAAATATAAACACATTGCTTTCCTATTTTCAATAAGAAATAGTGCTTCACAATGATGATACTAATTGAGACACATAATGTGAGCCAATTGAATATTGAAAAGTCATTTGAAATGACAACAGAAAGAATAAGTAATGTAGACTAAAAAAACTGCCCAATTATGCTGAAAGTGTAAATTGAGTAAAAAAAAAGCTTGTTCTTTTTTTATATTGCTGCCCGGTTTGTCTGTTTTCTGAAACTATTGCAAGTCGTACAAGCTCACCAAAAAGAATGCCTGCTTTCACAGAAGGAGCAATCTTCACATCAAGATGACATACTGTTCGTGCCAAATTACATCCAACACTTCATATGTGATGAACAAAGGAAAAGATACCTTGTTTTTTAAAAATGGCTATGAGATGCACACTATTCACACGTTCTTTTTGTGTAGATTGCTTAAATGATTTCTGGTAAATATAGATTATATTAAAAAAAATTGGCGTTGAACTTATTATACAAGTGCCAGGATAGACATGATAGATACAATATTCTTTTATGTATTTATTCAGCATTCAGTTCTGTGAAGACCCTTGATCAATGGCCAAAGTATTGGCATAGATTTCAAGTTGGCGAAAAAAATTATACCTAAATGGTTTTTGCATTATAGATAACCCCTTTGTAATATATGCTTTTCTCCTCATAGTTATGATTCTATTAAAAACTGCTTCTGGTTTGAATGGTATGGCTTCCATGAGAAAAGTTGTGGCAGGGTTTGCCTTATTCTTTCCCAGTTGCTACACTTCCTGAAATTCACTAGAGGTCCTTCTGACTCCAATCCAGCCTCTGTTGA